GGCAAACACTAAAAACTCTCCAGCAAACAGGAAATTCTTGCTGTTTTAAATGGAAAAATTGTTTGACTTGCTTTAAGAGAATCACATCTACATCAAACTGTTTAAACTCAATCTCCTGTAACAATACTGGTGCTCTAGGAGGACGTGAAGACTGGCCCTGATTGTAATGTAAATTGAAATTGTGACCCCTGATTTTTTTAGCTGGTTATCCAAGACCAGATTTGGGTTGAACATCAGCCTTTTTGCATTCTTGATACTTTCAACATTTTGAAACGGATCTGCCACCTTTTTGAATGCACACCCAAGAATAATTAAAATGTAAAATTAAAATGAAATCTTCACATACCTACATTTAACATCTGCTATTGTCAACAGCTCTACAGTTTTCATGTACCATGTAACAGCAGCATTCCAACAGAGTTGATGCCACCCATACTCTGCTCACCTCTGAATAAGAAAATCAAAATACACACATGCTTAGGATGACGTTTCCAGACTCGTTTGTCTTTTGTATCAAAATCAATCTTATTCTTTTGGAATGTTCTTCCTCAAAAAGACATGAAAGATTAATAAATACATTTTTATAGTTTTAAGCAACCTTGTTTTCCCACACTATACATAAACTCCTTTAGCACAAAATGGAAGGAATGAAGAAAATGAACTTTACAACCGAACAGCAGAAAGTTATTTTGGTAACGAGCAGCAAATCAAAATGTTTCACAGTTAAAATGTTTTCAGATTTAAAAGAAAATCAACAGCAGTTGGTCATTCAAAATGAACCTAACTGAAAGAGTTTGTGACTTGGTTTGATTTTGGACAAACTCTGAAATTGGTGGTGCCTTTAAAATCTGCTATACACAGAGAAATTGAACTAACGTACTGTATACTGTACCCTTCATTACAGTAATCTGTCTCACATTAGAATGACAACTTGAACATTTTATGTAAAGTCACTTATATTGATCATTTTTTATAGAGAAAGCTACATATAAACCTATGGAATTTTAGCCTCAATATACTTAGGGTTACAATTGAAGAAATTAATATGAACTGATTTACAATACTCTTAATCTGAAAATCTCAACTATATACATTACATGTCTCAAGTGGATGTCAGCACCATTCCAATCCATACTATAAAAAAAACTCAATATACTGTAGATTTAAAACCAGCTTTTTTTCCTTTTTTGTGTTCTGCTGCATGCAACCTAATATCCTACACAGACATCAATAATTCTTGACACTGACATTAAAATTCCTGATCCCTTGAACTATAAACCATAAGGCAAATTCGAATCTGTCATTCAATATTTTTTTTCTTATATTATTACAATTTACAGTATGTGACCCTTTAAAAGTAAAGTATTGGATAAATAGAAGTCTAATGAATAATTGAAAACAGTAATTTTACCTTGATGTAATCATTTGTAATATTAGGAGTTGTACTACAAATATTTTAAATAACTGTACTCTACACCTAAGCACATACAGTACATTATTTTAGAATGTTATATTTTATTATTATTTCTGTTCATTTATGTTTGTATTATGTTTAGGTCTTTACATAAACTTTGGCTCATATGTAATAGTTATGCAATCATTTCAGGCTTATGTTCAGCAGAACTGTCACAGAATATAAAAAAGATATTGAGAAACAACCTTCAAAATCTTCAAAAGTTTCAATGTCCAAAAAAATGATGGCTCTTTAAAATGTATTGCTAATCTAAATATTTTGTAAATGTGTAATGTGTTTTAGACGCAAAACTGCAAACTGATTTAGATAGCAGCAACTGCATGGGCAAATCCTAAGAGAATATTTTACACCAAAGTAATGGTTTATTTTTAATTAAAATAATTTTCAAATACTTTTCAGTATTCCATGAAATCCACATTTGCCTAAAAAATTTCCAGTTTAGTGCTGTTCTAATTCTATGGTAACAAATAAATTCTTGAGTTTTCTTATTTGCAGTCTACATTCTGTTAATGGGAAATGCAGAATAATTTGGTTTAAAAACCCTGACATTTTATATTTATATTTTACTATGTTGTAATCTATAAATTTTTTAAAGAAAAATATACAATAAAAACCTAAGATCAAGATCATACATAATGAAGTTTTCTAAACTATTAAATATCTTGTGAATATGGAATTAATCAAAACTCATGAAAGTAAGGCACCTGTTGGTTCCAGCCCTTCACAAATACATTAAGAGCTGAGTATTAAAATCATTTAAATCAGGATTTAAATCAGGATTTCTATTAGTTTTACAGTGGTAGTGAAATGCAAAACCAGGAATGATAACATATATAATAGAATATAATTTTTGTTTACGTTGTGACTCAACAATTCTAAGAAAGTGACTGTATTTCAGTTTTAGACATACACTGTAGCCATTATAGTTAATAAAAATACAGCTGACATACAGTAGCTCTGTTTTAATGGAATGAAGACAAACACTGGCCACTTAAGTGTAAATATTGTAAATATTCAATGGATAATGTTGTACAGTATATATCCATCTTATTGTGATACACATTTAAAGGGGAACTGCAGTCCCAATTTCTCAGACCTGTTATTAAATCTTGGTAACAAAATGAGTTCATTTATGTTATAGAAATATTTTACAGATTTAGAATTAAACACAAAATTGTAAACACTGTGAAAATACTGTCGCCATGTTGTCACATACTTGCATTTGAGTTGGAATGCACTGTGGCCCTTCCGTCTCACTAGCCCCTGTCATGACAATTGTATTGCGATGAAGAGTGAATAAGTACAGGTTGTGGAGCAGACATTTCACCTCAGAAATGCTCCTGTGTGATCTTTATGCATATTTTACAAGTAGTATTTGTTGGCAAAACCATCTTAAAATCAAAATTAATATTTCTGTTAGGTTAAAAGAGATGCATGCACAGGCCGGCTTGATCACAATGTACTAAGTAAACATCACTGGAAGTTTAGTTGCCTCATTCTGAATCACAAAACATGGAGCAGTGCATACTTGCAAATTTAGTCTATTTTGTGATGTAAAATGGAGGTTTTATAAGTTATTATGTAAATTTTACTTTTTTGTAAAATGTTTTTTGTAAAAAAAAATGCAGTCATCCATGCTGATTCTTTCTAACCCCAAAATAAAAAATACAGTAGCTTTGCAGTTCCCTTTAATTATGTTGTGTGTTAGAATTACTCAGTCTTGTGACACATACTGTAAGAATAGTATATTAATAGCTGTCCAAAAATTAATGTGGTTTTTAACTACAGTACTAAACATCTCTATAAGTGCTTTGAAGACTTCATAAAATTTATCTAATTACAATATTTCAACTGTGAGAGCCACTAAGAAATGCACAAAATAATGAAAGTTAAACTTACCTGAAATATTTATTTTTCAGAAATGACTTGTGCCATATGAATCAGAGTTCAAAAGCAAAAAAAGTAACATTTCCTTTCGTGCTTTGAAACCCTTCGTAGAGCATATGCTGCTATGTTCTTGTATTATATGAATCAAATCCCTGAGAAATGGTATAATGCTAATTGCTGCCAGACATCAAAGTGAAAAGTCATTACATGTTCTCTTGCTAATACACACATACCCCATGTGTTCAATTTTTATACTGGGTAACAATTAACATGTAATGATCAGAATGAGTAATCTAAATATGAAAAACTATTGCTACATTATTGCAAAAATCTTTTTGGTCAGTTTTTTTGTAATTTGAGTTAATTTCTTAATTAATTAATTAAATGTATGCCAGTAAAAAAATCTTTCATATTAGAATGAATGTGACGAATTGAGCACCATTTCTTCTTAAAAGAAAGCCTTGTTCATCCTAAAGACTTTAAATTTAAGACTTCTATCCTAATTTCATAGTAAAAGTTGCCGTGATCAATATTATCTGATGATAACAAAATTTATAGCCAGGGTCAGTGAGAGAATGAAAAACTGATTCTTCAGGCAATTTACCGAGTGACTGCAATGAATGACAAAATATGTATGGAACTTATCTGTGTAGTATAATCCTTTGGTTTATGTGAGGCAATAAGATCAGCAGCCCTGGTCTGTGCGATTGCAGCTTATTCATGGCAGAAAATCTGTAATAGGGAGTCCTACGATAATACTGATCCAGAATTTCAGGGATACAGTAGATCAAGGGCAACCAGCATGTTCATTGAAGTTCGTGTCTTATGAATGGCAAGACCATAGCGGGGCTATGATGCACCAGCTCAGTTTAAATCTTTAAACTAAAATAGTTTTAATGTTTACATTGCATGGACTGTGAGATCTTAGGCACGATATTGTATAAAATACATAAAATACTACTGTCTTTGCAAGAGATTACTGCCAGAGGTAACAAGCTGTGTTATCATGTCCAGTAGCCCAAATTACCTCCACTTACAATGGCATTGTTGGATTTTTTTTTGTGATTAATGGGGATTTAACTAAATTGAGGCTCTGGAAAACATCATAAACATGCAAATAAGAGAGAACAGTGAAAAATAAGAATGGCACTTACTGTACAGTATAATGAAGACAATTCAGCTGTGGTAAAAAAAACAATGTCTAAATTGGAGGAAATATAAGGCAGAAAAAATACAGTCAACTGATATAGAGTCTGACATTAGTACCTTGGATCTATAACTACAGTGGAAAAATTAATTTTAGTATTCTAGTTTTAATGGTCATTTCTGTATGACAAGGTCATATATTAGGATTTCTTCTCTTATTAAAATGTAATTAACCCAATTTTTTTTCTTCTTTGAGAAATATCATGTTGAACAATGTGGACTTATTATTTACAGTTTTCATACTTAAAAATATTCCTCAAAAATGTATTTCCATCGAATAAAATGTTCGTAGAAAGTATAGAGTATTTCTGCACAAACACTACATATTTATAATTTACATAATATATTTCAAAGATACTGATCAAACAACTAAATTGCATTTAAAGATTAAACAAGCAATTAGTTAAATACATCATAAGTACACAATGTGCTAATAAAAACATACAATGTTGGGTAAAGAAACAATTCGGTAACCAGTGTACTCCTGTAGTTTTACACAGAAATGCAGTGAAACTTTTTCAGTCCTCAGTTGTCAGCAAACAAGCTGACTGCTACGCAATGTGCACATTTCTGAAAAGCAAAAAGCGGATGCAGATACTTTCTTCAGCAAGTATTGTGTTTGTAATACCTAAGGTGAAGTTATCTGACTTGTGTTTTTGCCTTCTGACAATTTCCTACATGTATTCAACCTCACTATTTTTACCTTAACATGTAAATTACTTTTGCATGTAAGGTACTATTTTTGTATTATACCTTATATACATTTTGTAGAAATTAGAAGTTTCAATGGTTCAGCCTCTGTTTATCCCCATAATTTATAGTGACTGCTTACTCTTAAAAAGATACCACAACCCTGAAGGTTTTTTCTTGTAAGACACATACAATTGTTTTTTTTCTGTTTAAAGTTAACAATATCACAAAGATGAACTCTATATATATAATCTATAATAATGGCTTAACATGACCAGCATCTAACTTTGACTTAATATACACATAATGCAGAACTACTATAAATGTTTATGTTTATAGATAACAGTTGGTGTTCTGCCTCTCAGCATCATGAAACTGAGGTAATTTTTCTCATAAAATTGTATGATTGTTATTTATGTTTTGCAATTATCTTTACAAATAATTCATGGCTGCCTTAGAAGATGTACTATATTTCTATACATTGTTCTAAAATTTCAGGTAACATCATGAAACCTTATATCTATCAGACCAGGATGACCCAGAACCCAGTAGATGTCACAGATCACCCTTAAACAGTTAATTTTTAAAGACTTGAAACACATTTGAATTTTTATCAATTTACTAAGTTAATAGCAAATAATCTCTAAACTACAGTGCTTCATTGAACACACCTCTTGCAGAAAGTGTCAAAATGTACTTCTTTTAAGTGCTTTGGAACTGGGATATGAGATTGACCCATCCCATAAAATCTTCTGAATTGTGACTGTCCAGGACCAGGGTTGGTAACCTGTGCTCTCGACACATGTAAAGCATGCAATGGTTTGGTTTCGTTGTCAAACAGGATAAAATGTGCTGAATAGTTTTACCTGTTATAAAAGCAAAAATGTATGGCACAACAGCAGGTGCTGTATTGTAATACAATATTTAACTTATTCTTATTTGGGGTTTAAAGCATTTTTCCTTAATTCATAAATATGAATGAGTAACGTCCTTGCTGGAATACTGTGGTTTTGTTAAAGTTTTTACAATATTATTGGAAGAATCCAGAAGGGTCAAGTCAGACATTCAGATCTAGCATTGTTCCCACATTACCAAAACATTAGATATTTACATTGTATATATATATGTCAATATATTTCATATACAATTTTGTCAGAATGTGACACAATCCCAAACTGGCAAGCGATTATTGGAACTTCATTGTTTTAACATTTTATGTGGGCGGTAACATTTTAAAGGATATTTCAACAACATTCATAGGCGTCTACAAATTGGCAAGCATTGGTTACATTGGAACAACATTTACAGTATATGTAAAGCTGTGATTTTTTAATGAAGTTATTACACTGTTACTTCCTTGGCTTTGATGTACCACTCTTGAAAAACATGTACAGTATGTTTAAAGAATTATACAGCAGCTTTTTTAAATATACCAGCTATAATCTAATATGTATATTTAAATAAATCAAAATGCCAATTGCTACTGCACCACCTGCTGTTATTCAAATGTTTCCAATCGCTGTGTGATACCACAAATCTTGAAATGCTTGAAGTTAAGTCTTACAACTGCTGTGCAACCCTAATACAACATTTTCTTCACCATTTTTTGAGCTTTTAATCTATCCAGCAAAAACGTTTACAATGACTTTAAGTCGTTTAAAGTTATTTTCTGTAATTGCCCTGTGGATCTACGGAAATATAGTTTAATCCAAAGCTATGTGACTCGGCACAGCCTATGCATATTATATTGTAAGACCATATGTGGGTTCACTTGTGTTTCAAATCTGCTGCTGGTTTTACAGGCACTGTACTGCAGTGACCTTTACTGCAAGACAAGTGGCAAGGAATCTCTGCCTTGTATTTGTGGCTTCAATATCTTCTTATCTTCTTACAGGTCGTAAATAACCTGCCAAGACAGATGGAAAAAACAAATCACTAATACTTATAAATAATGTGCAGCATCTCTACACTTTTTTTGACTTACAGTAGATTCTCATGACATTCTAATCATCTAAAAATGACATGCTAATCCTTCCTTTTTATTTAATATAAAATGTGACCTACTCTGTAAATTGTCTTTCATACTGTACATATATATCCTGATGCACAAAAGAAGCACATGACTCAGTGGATAAAATCGACTCAGGTCAGGTGGATTTTATCAAACATTATAAACATGGACATTAAACAAAACGTCAAGATTTTTGATCACACATACAGACCAATGAAGCATGATAAGCAATAAACCTGCTTGTGGTCTACTTTAAATTGACAGTTTTCATCTTTTGGCTCTATAGTAGAAATGTCACACATGTTAGTGGATGGCGTAGTTTGTTGATGCAACTTTTCACCATGTGGTCTATACCTCACGAAGCCCCGTTTCTATGGATTAGTCTGCTGATCGTTGATGTAGAACATTTAATTATTCAGGCAACCTCTTCCACAGATGATTTTCATTAGGAACACAGAATATGGTTGTAATTTTCATTGTTCACATTTTAATATTTAGATTCTTAATCAACCCACTTTAAACACATAAAAAACATAAGAATGTTTACAAATGAGAGGAGGCCAAATGGCCCAAATAGCCTATTAAATTTGAACAATTTAAGTTGTTTTCTTATATAAAATCACAACATAATCTAAGTATTTAGTTATCTCAAAGAACACTTATCTGCATACTATTTAAACTGTACATATTATCCTAGAAATGTAAATGTATAGAATTATGCTTTAATTATGCATTAGTGTACTGTGTACAGACATATTCAAACAGAAGGAGTATTCTCTTCCTATAAAGTAGATTATCTGTTTACACAGAAGCATGCTTGACACCGATTACACAGCAGACTGGAGATCAAAATGAAATATTAGTTAACACTGTATATCACTTTTGATAACTTTTCAAAACAAATTTGAATGTATATGTTGTTTAAATAGTCATCATGCACATATATTATGTGTTTTGTTTAAAAAAAAACATTGTTCTTGTTTAAATTATATTTTACTATACTCTAAATGATATTCTAATCTAGACTGTTCAACTCTGTGCTTAAAATTAGGCTGTTGTGCCAATATACCAACATCCACAAAAGATTCACACATGGTGCTCTAACCATCTTTAGTAGTAACTATAAGGGAAGTTCTAAGTTAAGAGATATGATGATCATGTAGAAAAAGAACACACTGTGCCAATGCATGTCAATTTAACTGGGAATGCATGGTACTGGTAACAATGGTTTTAATTGGTAAGGTTAAAAAGAATATAGGAACACTAGCTATTATTGTTGAAGGGATTATTTTCGTAATCGTTGCTCTCTGACCAACTTGTGCACAAAAGCATGAGGTGGATGATCTAGTTACTTGTTGAATGTGGAACAAATGCACCATAGTGAGGCCACCTTCATTTTAATCATAGTTGAAAAGTTTCAATAATGGTATTATTTGTAGAATACTGTACAAAGCCCGTTTTGAATCAGCAGCTCTTGCTTCACCATTTTTCAAAGGCCACCAACTTTTTAGAGTAAGAACCTATTCTAAAAATGATTAGAGTAAATAGAGAGGACTAACATCTTGTAAGACTTGTCACATATTTCCAAATACACCTAATGCAGCTTTAACATATAGACTGGAAGTTAGAAAGGATATTATGTAATTTTGGCAGGGCATTTTAGGTAGATCTGAATTATTTACTGTAAATGTACTGAAAATAAGACTTAAAAATGTATCTGTAATTACAGGAATAGGTGGCATTTATCACTGCTCAAACACAGATCCATTGTATATCAACTACTTATTTGTAAGGAATATGATCTTGTATGTCCATAATGTCAATTTTTTACATGATTGTAAAAATTTAGACATCTAAAATTACTGAAAAAAATGTAAATTTGTTTTCATGACCCCTTTTCCAAATGAACATTTTGCAGGGCTGTGTTGCCTTGTTGTCCTAGGTAGTAATTTCATTTGTAGGGATTACTCCTTTCTTAATGGTAAATTACAAGCTGTAGTTTAGTGCACAAAACAAAAAATGGGATAATTGAGTATTTAAAACTAATAAACTGGTCAAGGAACCATGTACCTAAACCTATATTTGGAAACACAGAGCTGTATTCTATTCTGCTGTTATCCTTACAGAAACCTTAATGAGGATTTCCCAACCACTGTCTTTCAAGGTATAAAGATGAAACTGTTTCCAAGAAAAAGAAAGATATTTTTCTTTTTTTAAGACAGATATCTATAATTCAGTGGATAGATATTGATTTCCATTGGAAACAAAAAGTTTTTTTAAAGGAAGGAAACTGATGCAGTAGAACATTCCTCTGAAAAGATTCTGCAATGTTGAAAGGGGCACAGAGAAAAATCAAACCAAGAATCTTGAGATGGTTTTAGTTTGAAAGAGAAAAAAAATCAATGTAAAAGTATTATACATTGTTGGCTAAGGTTTCTTTTGTCCTGAAGACATAAAAAGACAAGGTTGGTAAAAGCATGCTCATATCCGTCACTCATCAATAAGGATGCTGTTAATGTATAATTATTTGTTGCTGCACAATTGGTATTGTGATTTCTATGTGATCTTATTAATTCCTGTAAATAATACTGATAAAAATAAGCATGCTTTCAAAAGTCAGAGACATATCTGAATTTAATAAATGCATGGTCCGATACTGACACATTGTCAGCATGCTCAAAATCTCATGGCAAACAATAATTTCACCAAGTCATTTCAATTGAGCTGTAAGGAAATATCAATTTTTAAAATTGGGACAGTCACGTGGACAAGATTATGAAATCACAAACAAAATAATAGTTACATGAGTCTGTCAAATAAAAATTAAATGGTTTACATACTTTAATGACAGATGAAAAGCAAACATGTGGTCACATTTGTATCAAGGCATGCACTTTAAGAATGTGTTGTATGAAATTCATATTTATAGAAATGAACAGATAAATTTAACAAGACACCCAAAATGCTCATTTTACTTGATCATTTTGTGGCTTTCTGTGTTAGTTGTACTTTATTTAATGCAGTCACCAACAGATATATTCCATTACTCAAAGAACAGATGCATATTTAGTTAGAAAATACCAGCTTTAATTTATTTTTTGTTTTATCTTTTATTTAATTAATTATTAAATAATCATTATTAAAATTAATTATTTCCGTATGTTCCTGAATGACTGCATGCTGTAAGGAAAATGCATATAGCTTTTTGGTGAAGTAAAAATATATCATGCTTTTATTGTCTACATCAAATTTGGAAGTATTTACATGAAATATCTATTCTTTCTGCATGGTACTTAAATAACCTTGTAAATTCAAAAAATAAAAGCATAAATTATAGATAAAATGTATGTGTTTGTCGGATAAAGAATTGAAAAACCTTGTTCTCTTTTCTTGTGTTGTTGTGACACTCTGTATTCAACATGTACAGTATTATGAGTTGTCATGGAACTCAACCCATCTACCCACAGAGTTTTTCAGTTCTCTGTTTTCTATGTTTTATACCTGTCCTATAATTATTAATCTGAGGATAAGGAGAATATAGAGGAAACATGAAAACATTGTTATTATTGTGCACAGACATTAAAACCAAATTCTCTGGATGTAGAGTTTTAATACAATTTTAAAAAATCACTGAAGCCTTTTCTATTATCCTTCCTATAATTAAAACTGGTCTGATTTGAATTATTTGATTCTTATTCCTATAGGCATAATGAACAATAGTGAAATGAATGCAAGAGAATTGCTGTTTTAGTTATATTCTGTTTTTCTATATATTATGCAAACTACAAATGCACATAATACTATTTTATATAGTATTTTGCTCATCACAATGTAAACATTATGTAATGAAAAAATCTTAAGGATCATATTAAGGATCATACAATATTATAGATCCCACTATTTCATTATGTACACACTATGTACATACTATACAAAATAAATTTGTATGTTACTGTATGTATATATTATATTGACAAACATTAAATCTATTGGTTTTAATATTCAGTTTTTACTTTTGGCTCTCAGTATATTTTTAGAACTAAACTTTTGTTTATGTCAATTAATGAGAAAGTCTCTTTTCTTTTACTAAAATAGAATTCATATGATGCTTATCACGATAAACTATGCTTCAAAATTGCATTGCTAAAGTGAATTTAAATTACCAGGAGAACAACAGTAGTTTTGATTGTACAGTACTGCAAGTAACCTCTAACTAAACCCCAGTGTTTGATCTTCTTCCATAAACCCTGTGATTGGTCATCTTCTATTGTTTTTGAATAAAAAGAAGCTGCACAGCTATAGATGGAATATGTATAGTATACTATTATAAACAGTATGAGTGACTCAGTTAACAGCAATGAAGTATTTTTTTTATTTTTCTCATATTAAATGCCACTTTTCTACTTCTTCCAACCTCTAATTTACTGATGGAAAAAAGAAACAACATTTCCTGGAATGAGAATACTACTGTACAGTTATAGCTTATGTACTTTCACAAAAAGTTGTCAATTTGTTTTAAGCCCTCTGACCAGCAATACAGCTTGTGCAGTGAGGCATTGCAACTTGCCAATCACATGAAAGCTTTTTAGGTGCACTTTTACCCATCAAGGTCCAGATGGAACAATGCCTGATCAGGTCACCTTTAAAAAGGCCCTAATTCAAAGCTTAGGTCACTGCAAGAAAGAGGCCACATTTAGTCTGTTTTCTGTGTATTCCATAATGTTTCTAATGTCACCAGAAGCAAGGGAGACAGCCATTGGCCTGCTGCAACCAATCATGTCATGTGTCAGTGTTGCCAGACACTATGAAGTAAGCCGCTCCACTTTGTCCCGACTGCACAGAAGGTTTCAGCAGATTGGCAGGACAGATGACCCATCCGGTCGCCCTCGAGTGACCACACCAGAGCAGGACCAACATTTCAGATCTGCCACCCGTATTGCTGCTGAAACTGCCGGCAGACACAATGCCCGCATCAGTGACAGGAAATACAGGCTCCATACTGCTGGCCTTAGAGAAAGGCAACCTGTCAGAGGCCCTCTGCTCACACCTCATAGATGTCACACCCATGGCTTGGGCCAGACAGAGGCTACGATGGACTCATCAGCTGTGGCATCAGGTCCTCTTCACAGATGAGTCACCCTTCAGCCTGTTCCAAGCAGATGGGAAGGCCAGAGTGTGGAGGAGGAAGTGTTTGTTTCTTTTATCCATCAGTATATATTGAAGCACTGTTGGAGAATGAAGTAGGCTAATAATTGAACCCAGAAACCAGTGGCTGTGTACATTACATCTTTTGAAGCATATCATATGATATCAAAGTTGCAAATTAAGTTTAAAATGTACTGTATAAATGCTAAATACAGCAAAAGTCAGCATTTCTTATTTAGTCTACAGACTGCATTCTGAAAATGAATGCCTTTGAAGAGTTGAATGGATATAAATTAATTGTGGTTGATGAAAATGAGCCCAAAATAATGCTGGATTAATCACATTTCTGTAATAATGTGAATCATCTTTAAAACTTCCTTCAGCTTTTTTTCTTTTTGATGAATAATAATTCGATCCAAATTTGTCAAATAAAACTAAATAACAACTCAGTATATTGAAAATAAAAAATATATATTTCTCTCAGATTTCTAATATAACGTTGAAGATCCATTTTTATAGAGAATCTCTTTGAATGCCATTGTCATTTGATACCTTTTCGAGGTCTTCCATTATCAAGTCCTGCTCATTTTGATTGTTGTTCCTTTTAGAGCTGTGGTTGTCAATGCTGTTTGTGTTCATTGAGATAGGATCTTTATTAACCTGGATGCCTGCTGGCAGCACCGCGTTTCCTTGAACTTTGTGCGAGTATGTGTCTCTGCGTTCAATGTTGGCAGAACACAGCTGGAATTTGAAAGCTGCCTGAAATCCTCTTCGGAAATTTTCATTGAAGAACCCATAGATGATGGGGTTAACACTGCTGTTGAAGAAAGCAAGCCAATGTGCGAAAGGATAGATGTAAATATTGATTACTCTGTACTGGTATTCAGTAAGATTTGCATAGTCGCTCAGCATCATTAAAGTCCATAAGGGTAACCAAGACAGAATAAACAGCAAAGCAACAATGAGCAACATCTTGATTACTCTTTGTTTCTTCTTCGATCCTGTTTGACGGTTTTCGTGGCCTGGTTTTTCACCCAAAGGAACTGCAGTTTTAAAAAGAGTAATGCCAATTCTGGCATACATAATCACAATAAGGGAAAGAGGAGCAAGGTAAATGTTGGCAAATAAAACAGTTGTGTAGATTTTTCTCATTTCTTGATTGGGCCAATTTTCTCTACACCAGTAGAATGGGTTTGTCTTATTGCCTTCACCCAAAAGTACTCTCACATTTTGCTCTTTAGTTACTTGCAGCATGACTCCAGATGGACACATGATTGAGATTGCCAAGACCCAGATAATTACAATAATCAGTGTTGAAGTTGAAATTGTCAGTTTCTGCTTGAAAGGGTAAACAATGCAACGAAACCTGAAAATGAAGCAAAAAACATACAATTTACTAATAGTGACATTTTGCAAGCTACATTGCAAATCACCATGCTTTTTGAGCAATACAAATGTTCCAAATACAAAGATACAGCTACCATATCAATGCATTTTATAGTAATGTTCAAATGAATAATACACTTGTTGATGGATTTCTGCTTGACATTTTCCATACATTTCTTTCACATATCCCTTGTTGAAATCGGTCAACAATAGGGTGCTTCTGATTTAGAATAGTTTTATTTAAAAAAAAATTATTGTTAAATTAGACACATTCTGTGTTCATGAGAGTGTTTTTAGATATAATCTATCAACAATAATTTGTCTAACAAGTGTGGAATAACCTGTAGAACAATCTCTGTACCTTGGACTCCCTCTTTCCAACGATTTAAATCCAAAATTGTATTCACCCTGTACAATATGTATATTAACTGTAAATAAGGTCTTTCATTAATTTCAAACCGATTAAACCAGGAGTATTAAACCATAATTTTTAGTGTAGTTACTTTCAACCCACTAAATAAAGTACAGACCTTAAAATAATATCAAGCTATATTCAATAACATTTATTGTACAGGGTATGTTACTTTTTTACAACCAGATTCTCCTTTTAGTGTAGTACCTTTTTGTGACAACGTTAATGCAACAGAACACTGTAATTCCAACTAAAGTCACCAGAGGGACTCAAAGCCCTAAAGAAATTTTCACAAGATAATTATCCTCCAGTTTCCCCATGTGACAAAGAGATCACTTAAATAGGAGTTCCAATAATACATAGGTGTCTTGATTCATAGATTCAAACAGCACTGTGAAAGCTCCTTTTTGTTTTCTTGTAAAGCTGTATTGAGAAGGCTGTATGCAAGTGCAAATATAACAATGTTACTCTCAGAATGAATTAAACTAGTACAATTACAAGATAAGACAAACTTCATTCTTTTTGAGTTTGCTGACATTCTAATTATCTTCATGAGCAAATATTGTTTTAAAAAACCATGAAAGGACAGCTTTATTTAAACATTTAGAGACAACTATTGATATCTACTTTAGAGGGAAAATGTTTCACAAGTGGAGGCAGCTTCTGGATAGCACCCCTAGTGGTTTATCTTTTATTATACTGTATATATAACCTACATTTGTTAAAGTTCTCTTTCAGTCCATTGTCTCAAAGCAGGAAGTTAACAGAGTCTAGCCAAGCAGAACCTGCAGGCATATATTATTGCACAACACAAGGCTTCTAATAAACACCAGGCACTGACATCAGATATTTGCTGGGCCTTGTTCAAATGTTTGACACCAGGGGTAACAATAGTGATATGCAGTAGATATGCAATCTGTACATATATTACAAAAGATGACAAAGAATCGTATTTGAAACATCCATCCCACCTATCTTGGGACCCCCAAAATAGGTTGTGTGAAAATTAGTATTAGATCAATACTTATACCGTACATCCTGTCAGCAGAATTAATGCTGAGTGCTGGCCAGTCTGACCCAAAGTCTTTTGCTTAGCCTGTGCTCGAATGACACAAAGCTATCAAAGAGCTGTCTGCTGAAATACAAGGATACTTTGGGGTTATTGTGGAGCCCCTGGGGCCATAAGGAAAAGGGAGCATAGATGATTCGGCTATAAAAATGGACCCAAAGGCACTGGCATTGAAGAAAGATTCAGATGTTTAGGTGCCTAGATGCTGGAGGCACACGTCTCTGTAGTGCTTCTCTATCAGAGGACCTGAGCCATTGGATTGAAGCTCAGTATAAGAGACACAGGTTTAATAAAATCTACCTAAATGGAGGAACAGTTTCTCTTCATTTCACACCTCTCTGCACCCAATCTGACTTCACACCTCTTGATTGGTCTCTCTTTCTGTCCCCTGCTCCCGCCTCTCACTTCTCCTCCCTCCCAACCTTTGTTCTCCCGCTACTTTACCTTTGTCTACTGTCCTGTCTCTCTCACACCTGAAGAAGGCTCAACGGCCGAAACGTTGTGTTCTCTTTCTTCTTTTTTTCAGCATGGAATAAACGTATTACTTGTTCCTTTGCATTTCTATGCAGTTGTGCATATGGCAATAAACTGAGCTGACCTGAACTGAGGTATTAGAACAATAATTACTGGGGGTTTGTGAAGAGGTCAATTCTTATCTCTTTGATTGCCCCAGTAGTCAGTTAAACTGCCCCAAACCCAAACTGTGCAGTCCACCGTAGCTACTCATGATTAACGAGGAACCTATCCAGTGGACTGCAATGTACTTAATGGGACCACTACCAGAAACCTCCCATGGACACAAACACACCCTCGGGATTTTCAACAATGCAAGATACTTCTATAATTTATTTTACTAAGATGAGTAACTATATTGGAACCATGTATTATTAGGTTATTTAAGAGCAGGAGGTATGTAGCATATAGCAGAATCTAAATCATTTTATTAGATAAAGCAAAACAAATCAAGGGAATCTGCAACACTTCTCAAAAACTGGATAGAGTAAAAATTGGCAAAAGCTGTGTAATAAAAAGTCGAATTCCATTCAAATGTATTTGAACACATTTTATACAATAATTGAAATATTTAAAAAAATATTATATAAACATAACAGTATTACAAATGCATAGTTGGAATCATTTTTCTAGCTCCTTTGTTACAATAATGGACTCTTTCTTACAGTACATTGCAGCTTCTAATTTCATTCTATAATCGAATTATATATAATATTTCTTTTCTATTTATATATGTGGAATGTTGTTATAATACAATACTGATTTGTGTATACCATTAAAATGATAAAACTGTTTTTTTCTTTCAGTTCAACAGTTATTGATCAGAGCTGTCACTGAAGTGTCACAGGGGTAAAAGGATTGATGCTTTATGTCTCATGTGAGAATATGATAGTAGGCAGCAAGAGAAATTCATGTTCATGCTTTTTGTTATCCTCAAGGCAATTTTTGCTGTGAGGATGAATCAAGTGACCAAATTGTGACAATATTCATGGCCTCCTACAACTGTGGCTTAAGCACAATTTCTTTATTTTTAAATAACAAGTTGAATATCTAATCGACAGAAACGTAGAACGTAATTTTTTCTATCAGTTGTACCCGAGTACATTATAATTATTTTTACAACTTTTTCAAATTGCAACAAGAAATGCCACATTCAATCTCTCTGTCAATCAGTGCTGCTATGCTTTTGTGAACTAGTTTTTTGCAAGTCACGAGGTGTTACGAAACACTTGATATATGCATCTTGGTATTTAAAAATCTAAATTACCTGTCAACAGCAATTGCAACTAAAGTAAAGACAGATGCAGAAACTGATATTCCTTGGACCATCCCACTCATTTTGCACACCAGACTTCCAAATGGCCATCCTGTTAAAAACAAAAAGACACACATGTACAGTACTGTGACAGGCACATATTGTATAGGTTCAGAGAAAATTTAAAAAAAAATCAGAAGATGCCTTTTCTAACTTGTGCAGCTTCTTCGGGGTAATTAATCTAGAAAGATAACTGCTGTATAAACGTCTTGTGTTTTCTGTATTAACTTTGACTGTTATTAATACATCTTAGGTATGGACAGAGGAAAACAGGCATGTCATTTAACAGTCTATTTTAACATGTCATTTAATTCACATTGATCAAAATCTACACAATTGTGATCACGATAATTAATGGTTAACTACGGGCCAATATGAGCTTCTGTAGTAGCTAATCAAACTCATTTATTGTATCAATCAGCTCTAATTGACCAAGTGGCAGATATTCCTTGCCATTAATATAGTATATTCCACTTTACATATTCATAAAACCAGAAGACTACTTTTTGTACTGTTTCTTAAAATAAGATTACAAAGTTTCAGCAGGAAATTGTTTCTGAATAAAGGAAAACTGCCGAGTGAAAAGAACAAAATAATTAAATTGTTCTTGCCAGATTTAAATTTGGCACCGCAACATCCTGTATACGTCAGAAAATAAACTAGTTAATTGTATTATGTCAGAGAACAGTCACAATTTACATTTAACATGTACGTCAGTCTACGCTAATAATATTTTGTGCCCTAGGACATTTCTGTATATTTTGTCATAATTATTTATGAAAAAAAGAAAACGTTTATCCAGGCTGTTTACTATTTTTGAGAAATAATTACAGAGTAACTGGCATTCAATAAAATAAGTTACAAAATCACAGATATCACATTATGACAGTTCTCTTATTTTTAATTATCATGAACACCTTAAAGCAAATGCAAATTCACCACTATCTTTTCCACATTGAACTGATAATGGAATTCCCTTTCTAATAGTTATAATAAGCTTCAGAACATGCACATTTTGCCAAAAAAATTAACTATCAAATTTAAATTCTATCTACATAGCTTTCACATACATCACAGAAAAGCAAGTCCCTAGTCCACTATGTACACTATGTCTTTACGGTGCACTCACTACAACACTTTAAATATGTGGGATGGAGGAAATGTAAATGCAACCATTATCTTTAGTAATGTAATCGATCATTCGTAGTTATTTCGTAGTCTATTGAATATGAATATTACTATTAATTCTGAAACCGATTTTGATTTTGTCGCTGAATATTCTAAAGGATTATTTGTTTTCAATGGGTTTCTAAAACAATTTCTGTGAGGAAATAACTCCCGTATCATGAGAAGGTACTGTGCTTCACAGATAAACTGTGTAGAAGCCTGAAAAGTCATTGTAAATGCCATTACATGGTTCAAGTTCCAGTCGCTGAAAGTTTAAGTGAATAATGGGAGTGAATATTTTGGTGTTTCATATCCTTTTCAACTTAACCCACAGACGTTTTTTAGCTATATAAGATATAAGATATCAAAAAAGAGGCCAGCCAAGGAACCTTTTCCTAAAGCATGAATATAGTAAAAGAAGCATGGAAAACCTTTTATTAGCTGCTTTGAAGTACTTTAGTGTTATGGAATGTATAACTAAAGATCACACAAGTTGTTACTTCAAAGACTGGTATTCACTGGGTAATGCAAGTTAAATCAGAAGGAAATTCTAATGGGGGAGTTCGATAAGGCTTTATTTTGGTTTCATAAGAACCCCATTTTTATCCACCATATTTTGTGCAATTAAAAATTGTAAAAACATTTTTAGTGCATTGTTATCATTCATTATGGCATTTACCATTTTAATTAAGTATAATATTACTATCTACTTGGTCCTGAAGCCCATTTTATTAGCACACTGTCTGAACAGTGTCTGCCAAATAATTAAACACCTTTATTTTTTTTATTTTAGGTCTTTGATGAGAGGTCAGCCGTATCTACATCTACATTTAGTAATATTAATAACCATTCAAATGTTAGTTAACACCAACCAAAGTTTATCGAATACAGAAAGATTCTTCTTACCATTTTCAAAAACATCTTAGTCCAGTACAGGTCAAGCTCCACGTCTGACCTGGCAGACAATAGGCACAAGCTAGGAAACACCCTGGACAGGAACACCAGTCTACCACAGGGCACAGAAACAAAGCAAAAACCCACGCAACCACTAGGAGAATGTGCAAACATCATACAGAAGGCTCTCCAAGCTGGAACCAAACCCAGCACCCAAGAGCAGCAGTGCTTACTACCATGCCAAATACAGTAAAAATGGCAAAACTGAGTTAAACATCTACATGGTAAAAAATGTAATTTTGCAATTATATTCAAAAGACTCCTAATAATATGGATAATTTAGCTCTGTTAAGGTGTAATACTGCACTGTATATTCCTCTAATGTTAGTCTCAAATATGAGAGCCAATAAAGTGGTTAAGTCAATATTAAAAAAAAATTAAGGGATAATTCATGTAAAATTAATCTGAATTTCTATATTAGTAAAAATAATTAATATTTACAGGCTTAAGTGCTTTCATCCACGTTTCGCCAATTTCTTGCCAATTTGATCTCAGCTTTCTGTTAAGTACTCTCTGCATTCAGTCTGTCCATTATGCCTCAGTGGATTTCTTAAGTTACTATGCAGATCCACAAATACTGTTTAAACCAAACTTGGAAAAGCTCTTTAATAATTGGAGAATAACATTAAGTACTTATTAGAAAAAACATTTCTCTAACTTTAAAATAAAGGGAGTGTAAATAATTGTAGAAAGGGGTAAATAAATTACAGAACTCAACTTATCGTGTCATCACACAAACTTACTGTGCTTGTGTATATATGTTTTACCCCCTGTAGCCAGGTAATATTGAGCCATAACCAGATATATATTTTCTACTAGTTTTTACATATATTTACAAATCTGTGACTTTCAGAGCCCTGCAAATAAAAGATCCTGCTTGGGACTAAATTACTCCTTAAATGGATGGGATTTTTTTTCACTATTCCACAATATTGCATCACCAAAGCAATTAGAGATTTAGGATGGTGGATGCCACAAAGAGGAAATCAGTATTTCCACAAATACAAAACAACAGTCCCTAATAAGACTACTGAGATATGGTCAGCCATTCTTCCTGTAGCCAGCTAGAAAAGGCTGAAAAGTCAAGATCATCTCCTGTTGATGGCACTAGCAAATAACTCTAATGTATTTACTACAGCTCTCAGAAGAATATGCCGTTTATGCACAGATCTTGACAGTGTTGTCTTGAAGTGCGATGGATTGCTTCATCCTACTGGAAAATCAAAGCTGCTGGATTGGTTTGAAAGCATAGAAAACCTGGATGTTGTCTATATACAATATCTGCATCAAAGGTGCTTTTATGTTAAAGGAAACTCCTTCCCACATCATTATACTTTCATCACCCTGTATGCCCTGTATTACCCTGAAATGCTCACCATATTATCTCAACATGTTGTCTTCCATTAGGTTTGTCAAGAGCAAATCAAAGATACGGCCTGTTATCCCTAGGAACAATACTGACATTACTCAAGAAATCAACAAGCTTGCCACTATTTAAATATATAAAAATAATGTTACATTTATCGAGTGAGCTATTGATATGAAACATAGATTTTATGTTCCAGTTCATCATTTTCTGTTCGTCGGGCAGATTCTTCAGTAGCTACTTAGGGTGGTCATCTCACCTTGGAGTGCTAGCCTGTTTGCACCCCTTGCGGAAGATTCCTCTCCGAAGCTGAATTCCTGTTCGGAACAGGATTCTGCTCCAAGACCAAGATACCCGAGTGTCCTCCTGTTTTTCTGAGATCTCGGCACTGGATTCCGCTCCAAAGCCTTGGCTGTCCAATTCCTGTAGATGGGCTAATTCACCTGCATTGAGATCTCTGGGCTGGACACTGACCACCCTCATTTTTTGCCACTCAAGCAGTCTGCTCTGATTTCAGTTCAGGACTCCACCCTGCAGTGTTCTATTCCAGTCTGCTCTAACTCCCATTCCAGTCTTCCAGGACATCACTCTGCACTGCAGAGCTCCATTTCAGTCTATTCTGGCTCTAGCCCAGGACCACTCCACTTTGCACTACAACTCCCAAACTTGACTGCATGATGGCTTCTGGCCTCCACCCTGGACTTTCTGCTGCCCTCCGTCTCCTGTGGTTCCATCCCACTTTCAGGAGGTAGCATCCATTGTCCAGGACCCCAGGGTGCAGCTTGTGCAGCCTTTATCCCTGCTACTCAGCAGCCCCATCCTAGCTTTGTAGAGTCCTGACCTAATATTTTAGTTTCTTCTCTGTTGCTCCTTTGTTTTTGTGCAGTTTCCTTCTAGTGTCCTAGCAGAGCCTTCTTTTCCTTCCTGGGTTGCCAGGCATCCTGTTTCCGCGTTGTCTGGAGAACATCTCTCTGTTAGCCTGAACTCCCTGAGGATTCCTGTTCCTGGGCCTGACTGGGACTGCTCCATACGACAGTGCTGACCCAGTGATCTGGGAGTTGAGAGGGAAGTTAGGGCAGGTCCATTACCTCCTGTCTGTTACAGATTTGTCCTCTAGTTGGTCCAAAGGGTGCCAGGGTATTCGCACCCGGGTGGCACGTCAGAGAGTTGAACCTGGGAGACCGAGCTGATAGTGCACGTCTGTCCTAGTCTCAAAGGAGGCCCCCCATAAGGACATGCACTGTGAATCACTGGCTCCTGGGTCCCCTGAAAAGAACACTGAATGGGGATGTCCTACCTCATCAGTTCAGTGAGACCCCTCCTGTCTGTTAAGCCTACAGGGAAAGGTATAGCCGTGCCCTGAGGAGGCTCTTCTTTTTTTCCCTGTCCAGCGCATTGGCCTCTGGGATTGCCAGGGCTTGCCAGCCTGCATCTCTGGCTACTTAGAAGGCTGCCTCTTGTGCAGCCCTCCTCCTTCTGAAGGCTTGGCAGCCGGTTCCTTCGTCAGCAGGCTGGGATGAGATGTCTAACTCGGGGCTGGCACTTTGCTATGCCAGCGTCTTGTTGGTCACCAGGAATACAGAGAGCCAGCATCTCCCAGACCATCGCACCTCACTTGGTTTCTTTTCCTGCTGTCCGGCTGGGGCCATCCTCGCTCTGCCGGCCAGTTCTTTTTACATTTTTCAGTTTTCCTTCTCATTACTTGCTGGCCTGAGCTGATTTAGTAATAATCAATTATTCTATTACCACCTCCTGTTTCCTGTTCATTTTCTCTCTGTCCCAAAGAACTCGTGCTCTCAATCAGTGAGGTCTCATCGGGTATTCTGTCACTCTCCGGTCTTTTGCACCTAGGTTCTGACAAATCACCACCCTCATGGCTCTAACTGGCTGTGGCATTACATAAGCATCATGGGTTTATTTGTTTGCTGAGCACCTGGTTAAAAATGTGTGTATTTGTAAATAAAATTACATTCATTTGTGCTATAGTATGGGATTAACTACAGTATACAGTGTCTTCTGTTACATTCCATTACACCCATACATCCAAACTGTACTACGCTTTGTAAGGATTATTTGTAATGTTAGTATTTTTCCTGTTAGTTACAGCTATAATAAAGTTGTTCCATTTAGGCACATGTTAACATTATCATTATTTTGATCAAATTTGTTGGCAATTTTTCATTGAAAAATTGTGGCTGCTGGCTAATTTTTCATTAGCCAGCAGCCACATCACCCTGCAACTCACAACTGGCAACCCACTGAAGCTCAGCAGGTGTGAGCCTGGTCAGTACCTGGATGGGGGACCTCCTGGGAGAAACTAAGGTTGCTGCTGGAAGAGGTGTTAGTGGGGCCAGCAGGGGGCGCTCACCCTGTGGTCCATGTGGGTCCTAATGCCCCAGTATAGTGACGGGGACACAATACTGTAAACAGGTGCCGTCCTTCGGATGAGACGTAAAACCGAGGTCCTGACTCTCTGTGGTCATTAAAAATCATTAAAAAAAAGGGTGTTTCTTGAAAAGAGTAGGGGTGTAACCCCGGCGTCCTGGCCAAATTTCCCATTGGCCCTTACCAATCATGGCCTCCTAATAATCCCCATCTATGAATTGGCTACATTACTCTGCTCTCCTCCCCACTGATATCTGATGTGTGGTGAGCGTTCTGGCGCACAATGGCTGCCGTCGCATCATCCAGGTGGATGCTGCACATAGGTGGTGGTGGAGGGGAGTCCCCATTACCTGTAAAGCGCTTTGAGTGGAGTGTCCAGAAAAGCGCTATATAAGTGTAAGCAATTATTATTATTATTATTATTATTATTATTATTATTGAAGGTTTGGAATCCGCTTACTATCCCAGCAGAACTATCTCCTGGGATGTTGCGTTAGGGTTCTGCCCAGATTAAATGAAAAACTGTCAGATGGGGTATTATCATTTTACTGCACAGAGATTACTTCTAATGCTGTGGTACTGGTTTCTGTGCTCCTTCTGAATTACAGAAAAGTAATGCATCTAGCTTGGAGGGTTTATACTGTACATGTTTCTGTCTATACTTCTCCATGGAGACATGATGTCAAGAAGGTTAACTATAAACTGGCATTTGCCAAACACAAGGTATGAAAAAAAATATGTTTAACCAATTAATATTATTTGAAGGATTAAGTAAAACACCACTGCCATCTGAAATTCCATTTAAAAAGTTGTTTTCATTTCCTCCATGGCATTAGGAGTGTGATCCTATTCAGTCTACTTACCAGTAATGATATTATCCAACAGGGTTGTTGGCATACAAAATATTCCAACTAGCAGGTCACTGACGGCAAGATTCAAGATGAAGAGATTGGTGACAGTTCGCATGTGTTTACTTCTGAGCACAATGAAGCAAACAATTCCATTCCCAACCATGCACACCAGGAAAATAAGAAGGTAGGAGACAATGAAAACAGCTGCCACAGGAGGCTGATGGAGGTAAAATCCAACATAGGTAGTATTGTATGGAGGATAAAAGTATTCCTGGGAATTGTTCTCAAAATGCCAACTCTTTCTGTCAATATATGATATATTTGGATCCAACTGTGTATTCATTTTGGACCTGAAAAACAAAAGATGAATGTTTTATTTACTCAACACTTTCATTTATTTTTTTATTATTCTTAATGAACAGAATAAAGTTGATCTACATTGATAACTGGCACTGTTTGTATGACAAGAATATTCATACATACCAATAAAATACCAATAAAAGTAACCTGTATATTAAAAACAGGAACTTAAAAACAGAACTAAACCACGGTTTTTCAACAGAAACAGAACTAAACCACAAACCATGGTTTTTCTTTTATAAGTGGTAGAACACATGCAGTATCATTCTTTCTTGAAATTTTAGAAGGAAATCCAGTACAATTTCAGACTCTAATGCGTTATCGTCAAGTGCAAAATAAGTGATGAAGAGATTAAATTGAGTTCATACTATGTTCTCACTTCATAATAGTTTAACACCAACATCAATCATAAGTTAACAATTTAAATAGGTTTTAACAAGTTGACACAATACTGTGCATACTGGTTACCAATATAGAACATGTAAAACTTAAAACACATTCACAATTTACAGAAAACAATGCATGAAATTTGAAAACTGATGTAATATTGACATCAACATCCAATATTAACTTGTTCTTTATAATAACAGTCTCTGGAAGAAATTTATTCACTTCACATAATGACACAATTACCCAAGTGGAAGGATTTAGGCAGAATATCACTAATAGGATTATAGTTTTGACCTCCTTTACCTTCTCCTAAAATAACTTTCAAAGTTCAAAGTACAGTAACTAATGAATGCAAAGCAATATCATAACTATAAACAGTTCCAATTAGTTTAGTTTTTCATTTCCAAAGTAATAAAGAGAAAAAACGGAAACATATTATTTTCCTAATTGCCCATTTGAATATCAGTGCAACAGACAATCTAGATTGAATAATTATAGTTATATAGTACATTACTTTCCATTCTGAAGGATCACCACACTACGTGAAGTACTGTAGGTCAGTCATTATGCTCCATATTAAAAGCCAGTAACATGCAGACAGAAAGGGAGTATAGAATTGGGGTTGAGCTGCCAAAGAGCAATGCTGAGACACTCCCAAAACAAGAAATTATGACTTTCTCAAAAGGATATTAAGGACTTGAATGCACCACCAGATGCTGATTCCCTATAAAAGAACAATAAGAGTAGACAGAAGTTATCTTCTCAGACATTCGTAGTCTCTTTTATGATTAGACCTTAGATCTCAGAGTGAGATTTTCTTGTGGCAAATTCAAAGGTGTGAAAATATTCCAAAACTGGAAACTAAGACTTACTACTATCAGTAACAGCCTCAGTTGTTGTCTTGCCAACTTTCTTACCAGTGGGTAAGAAAGAAGACAGGTAGAGAAGCCTGGCCTAAACAGGATTGACTGTTACTGTATTTCATTTTGAAGTAAGAGTTAGGAATGCACTGGTACAGACAGTACAGGGTTTGAACGGTATTTTATCATCAGGATTGATCAGTTCGCCACCTGATCTCCCATATTAAGAGATGGTTTATGTGCAGGTTGCTCCTGCTACATGCTAAGGGGGAACTGTTACACTAATTGAGTCAAGGTTTTTTTTATAGATACTGTAGGTCTCCACCTACTTTTCTGAACAGTGCCATGGTATCTTTAATGACAAAGTTGTCAAGACATACTGTAGGATATACTGTATACTGTATCTCAACTGAAGGACTGCACCTCCTGCAGCACTGTGTGCTTTGTGACCTGTGAGAATTGGTTTAGGAAATTCTGGTCTAGAGAGAACAGTCCCAGTGTGATTATGTGAACGTGGGGGCTTTAATATACAGTATTTGAGTGAAAATTAGACAAACCTGTCTTAATTGAGTAATTGGCATTCAATGTGAAGGAAATTCCACAGATAGAATAGAACATGGCTCTGTGGGAAATTGGCAACACCCTGTGCTAGCATGTGTGTTTAGGATCTTGCAGGAATGGAAGAAAGTGAGATTTTAGAAATAAATATAAGGAGTTTAGATACTGGTGTAGCAGAAACAACTACAACAACAACAGCAGCAGCAGCAGCAGCAGCACCAAGACTTGTAGTTTTGGTGTCAGGGAGGGTTTAATAAGTATGAGAATGAGGAATTTACAAGGACTAAGATTAAGAATTTGTGACTATTGAAAGAAAGATCTAGAAGGGTTGATGGCATTAGAATCTCTTGTATGTAGGTATCTAGTTATTCCCTTAAGACAATTTCAAACCTCCTTTTTAAAACTTAGTGGGTGAATGGAGCTTCTATTGGTTAGTCAGGAAGATCCAAGCTCTTTATATAATTGATTGTGTAATGACGCATACCTCTATATGGCATATTTTCAAAAGTAGATGGCTAGATTGAATGAATTTGTTTACAGAAAATAATTCCACAAGAAAATGCATCTTCTATATACACAAGATACAGTAAAACAAGGTGATACATGTTTATTTGTTATCAGCCATGATTTTTGTAATTGGATTTAGTCACCCTGAAATAAGGTTCCGATCAGTCACTTTGACTCCCCGAATGTATTAAATAATAAATTCAGGCAGAAATAATTTTAAGAAAAGCACAAACAAACACTGATTGTTTCAGACAAATAGCAATATGCACTCTGTTGTCCTGTTTTCAAAACACACGATTTGCTTAAATTTCCATAGGAAGCAATGGAGAGTTAAACACCTAAAGTGTTTTAATATTAGGTCTTATATTATGTATTTAAACAGGCAATACAGCATAAAAACTGGTACTCTTATTTAATAGGGTTCCATATGCTCATCTATGACATTAATGACACTAGGACACTACAGAACCAATCTGACCAGATTTTCAAATAGGATAGGAAGAAAATGCCCCTACAGTGCTGATTACAGTACAGGTTTTACTGTATACCAGACCATGTGCCATGATGAGTTACACTATTTATCTTGGTGCATGTTATGTGTGTACTCCATACATTTCCATCATATACTACTGTCCAAAAAGGTAAAATTCATAATGGTGTTCCAGATGCACTACAAGATCATCACACTACCGCCTCCAAAGTGAACATGGTCACACTGATTCACCACGTCTTCCTGTTTGTCAGATCTGATCTAATTTGCTACATGACCTACATAACTGGAAAATTGTATATTTTAATAAAGCAAATGAAAGTTAAAATGGTTTTCTTTAATAACTTGGACAATACAAACAACTTGAGATATAAGATTATGACAGTACAGACAGGTGTATCTGCTGCAGAAAGATTGGGATTCAGTGCAGCTAGCCTCTTTCAGAGCTCCCATTCCTAATCTCTTCTCCTTTATTAACAATATTAAAGAGAGCACAGTATTATCATTATAATAATGTCTAAGATCAAACCAGAAATTTGGAGCTTTAAAGAGTCCTTATTATATGTCCTAACAATAATTAATAATAATATCTTATTCATATAATATTTTTTCTTCTTTATTCTACCAAATGAGAGAAATTCTGATTATGTTTTCTTTATTGTTTTATGCTTGCATAAAGATCTCTGAAAATCCTGTTTAAAAAGAAGCCTAATAATGACACTAGTACTGAATAATATTACTTTTGAAAAAGGAGGGTAAGAAGACGCCACAAGGCTATAGGCAAAAGTATTTTAGTACTGATTTATTTCTTCTTTGGCTAATCCTTTCATGTGGAAGCTAGTTCTATGGTACATACAATATTTAAACAACTCCTACAGTAGGTAGCACACAAACTTTCATTTATTATGTCTGTTATTAGTGCACAGAGGTACTTTTAGAGGTTAAGGACATTTATAGCCTTGCAATGTTAATTCTATGAATTGCCTTATTTTCTTCTGTTTATGTTTCTTTTCCCTGTATTTTGGATACTCATTGAGTCTATTTCATAAATTAGCTGACACTGCAATGGCTTTTCAGCAGGGAATTATCCAACTGAGCCCATATGCAAGAACCATAACTAAATGAATTAGCTAAGAATTTTCTCATTCCTAGCACATACTACACATTACGGCTTACACTTGCTTCATCGTTGCACAAATGCAACTGTAAAACTGTGCAAGTTTTCAGTTGACGTGCACTGTTCTTAAGTCAAGACCAAAATGGCAGATATCATATTTACTGGAGAGGAGAGTCTTAAAATATAACTTGACATACTGTAATTCTGCCACACATTTAGGTTCATAAAGACAAATTACTCTTAACAATACAATTGTTTTTTTGGTTTTTTTGACACTGCAAAGCTAATATTGGGTTTACTAATTTATTAATAAACCATTGCTGGCATATACAAAAGGTGGAAAGCTTGTTCGATTTATGCAAAAGGCTACGATAATATGAAACTGACAATTTTCTTGTCACCTTTCTGCAAAGATTTTTAGTAAAACTTTCTTTTGGCTTTGCAAACAATATATAATCTTTGACCAAAGGTAAATATATAACCTATGATTAAGATAAAAAACACAGAAAGGGAAATAAAACAACCAATTGTTTGCTTGTTGCTGGCATTTGGTTGAATGCCTGTTGTAAGTAAACATCAGAGGAGCAGATATCTAAATTCGATTTCCATTTCAACTGAGCTCGGACACCCATAACCAACTACATTTGACATATACTAATCAGTTCTTCTGGACATTTATGTGTTTTCGAGCAGAAATGCCATCTAAATTAGCCATTTTTCAGATTCAGATCATTACATTTTCCTTCAAAGTGTTTGAAAATTCATCACCAAACTTAAGTAGGACTAGCCTGCATAAACAGTGAACTGAATAACTTCAGATTCACTTTTTGTAGCTTATACTACACATTAATAACCAGAATTTGGCAATTTTCTATTCAACATTAAAGCATGATGTCAGTTTTGTATTTACAACACTGTTCAAAGGTGCCCTGAAGGCATGTTCCCTAATTGCTTCCTACAGTATGTAATGTATAAGAAAGTGCTCAGTATTGCAAAAGACCTGGTTTTGCTTAGCACTATGAGTATGTCTTAGAATTACCAGAAATGACACCTGTGAAGAAAATTCAG